CGTGCCAGATGAAAGGGGTATATAAATATTTATTATAAAAAAATAATAATATTGATCCATACATTTTTCCAAAAGTTATATAAAATATAAATTAAATAATATAACATATAAAATCGAGATTTTTTTCACGGAAATCGTACGTTTTTCTTTAACTTTGATGTCCGTTTTCACCACGAAGACAAGTCCAGAGGTCAAATTTTTTTTTTTCAAATTAAAGTATATTACATAAGCTTTAATTTAAGATATATATAAAAGTGTCAGTCTTTCCGGAACATTTTCAAAAGTTAAGTTGAAAAAGTTCTACTTTCTATACGCATTTTAAAAGGTTTGCACCCCCCCTGTATAAAGGGAAATGGTCCGATTTTAAAAAAAAGTATGTCGAATGAAAGAAGTATATATAAAGTATTTATCATTAAAGAATAAAGTTGATTCATGCATTTTTTAAAAAGTTATAGCAACATAATGTTAAAAAATGTAAAATATAATATCAAGAATTTTTTCACAAAAATAGCATATTTTTGCATACGGTAGTCATTTTCACCATGAAGACAAGTCCAGAGGTCAAATTTTTTTTTTTCAAATTAAAGTATATTACATTAGCTTTAATTTAAGGTATATATAAAATTGTCAGTCTTTCCGGAACATTTTCAAAAGTTAAGTTGAAAAAGTTAATTTTTTGTAAAAAAGTTACCATTTTGAAACCCCATCCTTTGGGCTGTTAAAGGGTCAAATGTTCACAAAAATATATAAAATGATAGGTAATTATCTAAGGTATCTATAAAAAAAAAAATTATATTGATTCGGTCATTTTTAAAAAAGTTATGGCAATTTTAAGTAAAAAAAATTGAAAAAATATCGAAAATTAGCGATTTTTAAATTTGTAATTTTTTGGGGGATTTCCCCCGTTTACGGGGAACGAGGGAATTTTTTTCAATTTTTGAGGGTAATGTCTTCGACTAGATACGATTTGTGATCTTTTGACATATTGTTCATCAAAATCGGTCCAGCGAGAGCTGAGATTGAGCGTTCACAGACACAAAAAAAAAAAAAAATAAATAAAAAAAAAAACACATCATAGTAAAATTAATACCTTCTCAGCTTCGCATCGAAGCTAAAATAATTCATTGAATCTTAATTTATTATAAGTTTATTATTTTACTTAAAGAAATATCTTATAATTTAAATTCTGTTATTGTTGTAGACTATCTATATATTTTTTTTAATTTATCCTGTTAAAAATATATTGATTTATCATCTTAAAATCAATATGATATAACTTAATTAAAGTATAAATTAACACGTATCAATTATTTTATTGTAATTTATGTTATTAATTTTTATTTTTAAATCAATTCTTCTCTCATGCCATAGTGTTTGTATATGTTTTGTTACTTATCTAATTGTAAATCAAAGAATGATAGGTATGTTATTAATTTATAATATTAATCAGCATCTTATCTTTTACATAAAATTAGACCAAAGTACTGTTAAACATTTTAAGTGGTATGATAAAAATAAATGTTTTTCATCAAGTTCGAAGAAATAGATTTATTTTACTTAATAGAAATATCGATATATTATACTTCTGACTAAGACTACTGGACTAATTGTACTAAGAATAGTGTGTTACTATTAGTTAATGAGTTGACTATTAAATTATTTTGAGAATAATAAACTCTCGATTCAGTGACGTAATTATGGTATGGGATTTTGGATAGAGGAATACAAATAAGAAAATTTTTCTAAAAGTACGATTTTCTTAAATTTAAAAAAATATATACTTAATCAGAAAATAATGTATATTAAAAGAAAGATAACATTGCTGGATAATTGAAAATCATACAATGGCGATAATCTCTTAAGTAGTGGTGGCTCAACAGGGAGGGCGCTCCTCTTAAACTATCGATAGGCAAGCCCAAATTTCTCTGACTGGCTGTGTGATTCGTAGTTTCCCTTTCATTTCGGTAATTACCATTACCAATAGAAAGTGTATACGATAACTAAGCATTGAAAATTAAACAATTTTCGAAGAAGTAGAGTAATTGAAATATGAATTTTGCATTTTTAAATGTTATTAACACGTAAAAGCACGTATTGATTTTTTTCCCTGATTATAATTTAATTATAATTATCGACAAATATATTTTTACTATATTCGATAAGTAAACAATTCGTACTAGACAAGCAATTAAGTAATAAAATTTTCAAAATAGTTATTTAGCGAGTTATATTTTTGCGCTACCGTTGAATAAATTTGAATATTTTCTTGTTCCTAAATACTCAAAAATTTTATAATAAAACATATTTTGTTTAGTTTATTTTTTCGTCCAAAACTATTTGTTTAATAAATAAATATACCAATTTAACTATTCAAAATTGTATTATATTTAATTTCTTTTAAATCATTGAGAATAGTAACAAAAACTCATAATATACTACTCCTTCATAAACGCATTGTTAACTGAATCACATCATAACAAAATTATTATTTCATTTTACTTAAAATAATAAAATAACATTAACAATAATTTATTGTCAATATTTGATGAGAAAGGTACAAAGCTTGTCAGCAAGTTATTATTAACCAGTGGTAAAATTATTACTTTCGGTGTAATTTAAAAGATTTTAAGTCTAAAGTTATAAGTTTAAGAGGTAGGAGGGTTTAAAACCGGTATCAAAATCTATTAATACATCGATATAAACCAGAAAAATCAATATTGAAAACAAAATCATAATTGAAATCAATATTATTTGATATCGTATAAAAACCAGTATTTGATATCAAAACAATATACGTAATGTAGTAAAATTATTTGAGGCAGCTAAATTAAATTTTACCCTCTACAAAAAATAATTGTATAAAATAGTGCATATAATTGTGTTATATTTCTTAATATAATTGAGAGGCTTAATTATAAATAAGGGGTTAAATCAAAACCATAATAAATATTAATCGTTAATTAAAAAAAATATAAGTTTTGATAAAATATGTTAATGTCATATTTCATAATATAGATGAGCAAATACATAAAAAATTACTTTTATTTTAATATTAGTATTGACAAAGGCAATTTTTTTTTTTAGTGACTTTAAAAAAAGTAGTAACAGATACAAAAATAAATAAATAAACACATAATGGTAAAATTAATACCTTCTCTGTTTTGCATCGAAGCCAAAAAAAAAAATAAAAATCGTTTTTAATTTGAATTCAAAACTTTTGATAAATTGATAAAAATAATTGATAAATTTCATATTAATTTAAAGATCTGATTTTTTTAAAAATTAAAAGTGTGAAAATCTATTAATTTATAAATTGAGAGGATAACTTATGTTAAATTTAATTTCTTAATAATTTTAAGTGAAATAAATATCCTCCTCCTTAAGTCCATCTTCCAAAAACGGAAATTTGGTGACGCATCAATTAACGGTGGCAAAAATCCCTTTCCAAAGCTCACGGTTTTCTGCCAATCGAATGGTGTCTCCCAGAGAATAGCCAGTGATGGTCTTGATCTGATATCATTAAATATAGCGAAATAAATATAGTGGCACTGATATCATTTACGCTATAGGTTTTAAACAATTATAACATTTTTTTTTATAAAAGTGGTCGATTTTGTGTAAATTTTCTTTCGTTCTCAATATCTATTTATATTTGCATATAATTATTTTACATCATGTATAGCTCATTCTAAAATCTGAACAACTTAGAAAGTCAATCTAATTTTTTCTGCACATTTGCATCGAAGCATTTTATGATAACGATTTAAATCATTGTCATATTATAAATATACATTGTTGTACACAATGTTATGTTCTTTCTATGCTGGATTCCAAATGTCATGGGTGTTTTTCTCATTAAGGTAATTTAGTTGGTAAATTTATCATCAATAGTCAGTAAAAGTTATTCCACCACCCTCTAAAAATTATCTTTAGGATCAGGGCCAAACTTAAATGTCAATAGCCCAGAGAGGTAATAATTGAGACGGTCCAACTCATTTAAAATATTTGTATCACTTCATAGCAAGAAATGAACAAAAAAAGTCAAAAATAAATTTTAAAAACTGAATTACGGTAATTTTCATAACGATCTTCGTCGCTTTTATCTAATATTGTTCTAAGTCGTTGTTTAAGTTAAATGACGTTTATCACATTTAAAATTGAACTAGTAGTGCAGTAATTAACAATTATAAAGTACCTAGTGGTACTTTAGAGGTTCGAATTATTTTTAGCATTTTTTTTCCAATTGAAAAATAATGAGCTATTTGAACAAATTGAATATAATGATTTTTCACTAGATATCTTCTTTTCTTAAAGATAATCTCAAATTATCCTAAAATTATTTACAGCTAATGTACGAATAGTTCAACAATATGTATTCACATTCAGATCGAAACTTAATTTATTAATCCAATTTACTTATAATCATCAGATACTACAAGCACATTTTTAGATATTTTTTTTTGGAATAAAATATTGAAAATTTTTATTGTTCAAAATTCATCTAAAAGTACTATTTTTAGTAAAAATCGTGCCCTATCATGCATTTTAAAGGATTAAACTTCTTACAAATACGCCCCTGCGATATAGATTATTCTTCAACAAATTTTTTAATTTAAAAAATACTTGACGAATTCCTAATTAAAAATTTGTAAAAATATTTCAACTTAGTATTAAAATATAAATAGACCACCCTGTTTTATAAAACAAAGTTCTTATAAATCACATAAAGTTTAATGCAAATTCAATCAAATTTTTGGAACTGCTCATTATATGTAAATCCAACCTAACCCACTCCCCTAAACTTTTTTATATAATCATATATAAAATTTGAAGGGGAATGACCCTCCAATTGTCGTTTATGATCACGTGATTTGAAATCTGGTACCGAATTTCATATTAATAATTATATTCAAAAACACAATCTATGATATATAACATAGCTTAAACAGCCTTTATAAAAAATAGTTTTAGCACATTTTAAATTAACAGAATTTTTTTAGGAACAGTATATTGTAGTACTATTGTTCCTCCAGATATCAACCCAACACCACCATTAGAATTTCCAACAGAAGGGCAAAATTTAAAAATTATTCAAGCGATTTCATTAATTGATACATTAACAAATGATTTATCAAACTCTCCAGTACTTTACTTTAGTAATCCAGAACTCAATACAACTTCTAACAAATCACAAGAAGAAAATATCAGGATTACTAGTCATGTGCATACTCTCCAAATCAATGAATTAAATATTTCAAAAAACTGTACTAGAAATATTATCAATAGTAATTTATTCAGTAACAATGCAACATCCATTCTATTTATCTTTGCTGGTTTTTTAATCGCTATAATGAGTTTTCTTACAGTCATCGTATTATATACAAAAAAAATTAAAACGTAAGTAATACTTTTAAATTATTTTATATAGTTTTTTTTTTTTATGGAATTAATATATATACATTAATATATATTAATGTATATTTAATACACTATTAAATGGAAATTTTAATTTGAAACATAAAAATACAATAATGAGAAAACAAAATGTTATTCATATTAATTTTTCTTAAATAATTAGTTTAGTTTTATTAAAAAATATTCTATTAATTTGACTTTAATGTTGCTTATGTAATAATTTGTACACTAAATATCAATTTTAGTTTTTTTGAATTTATAAAAAAAATTAATTTTGATTTTGGCTCAATAAAACACTATTGGTACATACATTTGTACCAATAATGAATAATATTCTACATTACTATTATCAAAACTAGTAACATGAACCTCATAAAATAATGTTTTTGGGCAACACGCTAGGTCTAAATGTAGTAGCAATGTATAATTAAAGTTTTATATTTTAGAAAAAAATTGTCAGTCAAAGAAATATTGGTGGTGGAATGTAAAGAATTTATAATTAATAATTCAATTCATCAAGTGTAACATGAATAAATGTTTTAATATTAATAAATTTAAAGAAATACACATAAATAAATGCAAAAAAAAAAATGTTTTTTTTTCATTTGAACATTGTTAACAACTATTAAACAAACTAAAATAAGGTAAAATATTTGTTTTATCTAGTTATTTAGAATTAAATCCTCTATTTATTATTTTTTACTATCAATGGACCAACATTATCTTGACACAATTTATTGTATACATTATGAGCACCATCACATAAAGGAAATTTTGAACTTCTCCAGCAACGGCAGAATGCAGTACTGTCACCAAGCTCTTCAATAGCAAATACATCAGCTACTTTAGAAGACTCCTTTTTAATAGAAGGATTAACAGGCTGAAAAACAATAATATAATTATTTCTATATAATTTACTAAAATTATTGTTTAATAGGTTACCGATTAATAGTTTTTAATAACAATTAAAAATTTATTATAAATTATATAATTTTTAAATTAATCAAACTATTAGGTGTGTAACTAAGTTCTCGCCGTTTTTTTTTTTTTTAATGTAACATTATTTTGAAAAAATATTTGCATATATATTATTCAAAGTATTGTCCATCGTTAGCTATAACTTTTTCCCATCTTTCTGTCAGAGCTCAAATACTATTACGATAAAAGTGTTCATCTTTTAGAGCTAGCTATGAATGAAGCCAATTTTCAATGTCGTCAAATGAGTGGAACTGCTGATCAGCCAGACCATGTGCTATTAAACAAAACAAGTAATAATTGTTGGCACAATATCTGGAGAATATGGTGGTTTGGGTAGGACTTCCCATTTGAGCGTTTCTATGTAGGTTTTAACGGATTTAGCAACATGAAGCCAAGCGTTGTCTCGCAGTAGAATTACTTTTTTGTTCCTCTACTAGTATTGTGTTTGTTTTTAGCACAGTGCTCAGCTTAGTCATATCAATTGAAATCTATACCATTCCCCAGTGATGGTTTCATTCAGTTTTAACAGTTCATAATAAATAATATCGACCTAGTTCCACTAAATACACAGCATGTATATTTGGCTGAGCCGACGATTTAGAAGCATGGCCGGGCAGTCCCCATGACTTTCTTTTCTTTGAGTTGCTGTAATAAATCCGTTTTTGAACACCAGTATGATGGGAAGAAGAAAACTTTTCCTTTTTTGCCGCTGCTGGTACATTTGTTCACAAGCGAAAAAACATCGCTTATTGTCCTTTGGCTTCAAATCGTAGGGAACCAAAGTTCATTGTTTTTGAATTATTTCCAACATGCAATCACTTAGAAATAGCGTAGTGGGTAACTTTAAATACTAAAGCAAAGTGTTCCTGCATTTGGCATGGATCCTCATCAAGTAATGCTACCAATGCACTGTTTTTTAAAGGTTTTCGGCCTTCCTTCACACAGACACTTGCCATTTTTAAAGCAATGAAACCGATCACAGCACATTGTTGTTACACTTAAAGCAGCATTTCCATAAACTTTTTTTAACTCTCGATGTGCTTCATCCACAATTTTGTTTGAATAAAATAAAAAAAGTAACATCTCTCGTAAATAACGATTATTTGGCACATAAAATTTAAAGTATATGACACCACAATAAAATCACTAATGTGTCAAAGAGATTTGTTTAGCATATGTCTCAGCTTGGTTCATAAAACCCAAAACCAACCCAAATGTTATAGATATGTCAAATTTAGCTAGCACTTATTTCTATTGACAAATAGCGAAAACTTAGTTGTGCACCTAATAAAAAAAGTTTATTTTTCAAGACAAAGGATTTTTGCAAATTACATAAACAACACTATATAACAAAAATAATTCCTATAACAATAACTTCATGGAACATCTTAGTATAACCAAATAATTGTGGTATACATGATAGTTATATCTAGCAGTTTTTTTTTTCTGAAAGATAATTATTAGAATAATAGAATTTGATTAATTATAAGACTGTGATTAAACTTATGTATTATAATCAATTCCTTAGAAATCATCAATTGTATCATTATTTATTTTTTTTTTTTTTTTACAACCGTTAAATTGGTTAATACCATTGGTATATCCTGGGGAAATTTAAGTGCAGTAGTTTGCCGTTACCTTCTGCACTGGGAACATGGTGCTTTTCACCACTGTAGAAACACACGCATGGTCACCCATCCATTCATCTACAGTAGTAGGCACAGCTTAACACTAGAGTTTTGTCAACAACTAGTGTGACCGCGGTGCAACACCACACCCCTGAATCATTATTAATTACTCTTAATTATTTTAACAAAAACCGTAATTAAGTTTTTAATATTGATAATTTTTTGAATGTTGGTTAACTATTACATTAATTATCATTATTTTATATATTTAAAAAGAAATCATATACAGTGTCTACCGTAATTTAGTAATTTAACTATAAAAACTAATAATTAAATTAGTAAATGGTGTGTTCCTGTATACTCAAAATTAACAAAAAATTGTACTTTCCTGTTTATTACACTAAGCTCTCCAATTCTGTTTAATGAAATAGGATCTTTAAAATAAATCTAGGCACTGAAATTAATTCAGTTTTTTTTAATTTTAATAATATTTAATTAGTTAATTGACCTATATTCAATTATTTTCTAGAATTTGTAAGGTTAATAATTAACCTCAAAAATTTGTATACTTATACATATAACTTTATAAGACTGAAACTAATTTTGGTTTTATAAAGTTTTAAAACTAAAATTAACCAAAATATTTTTTTTCTATTTTTGAACTTTAAAAAAGTCAAATATGTTCAATTAAGGTTATAAATGCTTTGGATTTTACAATTATTTTTTCAACAAGTCCTAAAAAAAAATTTACAATAGATAAATTAATTTACTATATATATAAAAAATGACTGAAAACCGAATTATTTCAGTTTCTAGTATTTCTTTAAAAAATACATCATAATTAACTTATTACTTTATAAATCTGGAGTAGTAGCGTAGTAAATTCATTGATTCATTAAAATTAACCTTTTTTTAATTTTATATCATAATAAATTTAAATTTCAAATATTTTTAAGTTAGCAGGTAAATTTAAATATAATACTCACACTTCTTGGACAAACAAATCTATATGAAATGTAACATACACCACCAACTGTAGCATAAAATGGAATCAATTTTACGATATCAGAAACTAAAATTAAAGAAAATCATATAATAATTATGGTATCATCAATTTACTCAGAATACAATGCAAGAAACATACTTCCTAATTTGAAAATACCAGTAAATGAATTTGGTAATGGCAAATTTGCTAAATAATTAGCTAAATGAACTTTGATTAAATTAGAGCTTGCTTCCATTGTTGGATAAATTTTAATTCAAATGTTATTTGGTTAGCTAAAGTCACAAAACTCGACAGAGTAAAATTGTTACCTAAATTTAGAATGATTTATGTAATAGTTATACTTTTATTCTATACTTACACAATTTTTTCTTTTCTGTAGTTTAAAATTTTATCGATTAGCTCTTAATAAACTAAAATCTAGAATATTAGTTTGAAATTAACCTAACCAATTCTTTAGGTTTTACCTTACGCTTATCTAATGCGTACTTGTCAGTGTTGCTCTTACAGGTTTGAAGGTTACTTTTAACTATAATATATAATAAATCATTGATAATAGTAATCTAAAACTATTGAATGGTACGAGTGTTATAGTTATCAAATGCTGGCGAAAGGAAAAGTCAAAATTCCATTATTTTATTATTGTTATTTAAGATGTGTAAAATATAAATCAGAATAAAAAAAAATATGTCAAAATTTTCATAAATTCTTCAAATATAATAAAATGGAAATAAGCATTTAATTATATGTTTAAATAATAAACTATGTTACTAGCAAATATATAGATGTTTGCTTTACAAATAAAACGCGCAGCTGTTATAAGTTGGTAGCACTAGAATTTTATCTTTCAGTAAAGTTTCAGCTGATTTGTCATCAACTCAAAAATTACCACGAAAGAAGTATACTCATAACTAATGCTAAAGGATATGTTCCTACAGTACTGACTAAGTGCAATATATAGGAATGTCTCGAGTGTTGATTATATAAATAAAAAATAATTTTATGTACCTATTATCTGTTTCAATTACCGTTTGTTTACTTATTACTATTTTTTAATTATTACGTTATTCTCATTATTATTACGTATGTCCGATAGTGATTTTCTTTAAACTTTTATATTTGTTATTTTTATTGATTACGTTTTTTGAAATGACAGTGGGTAGTGATATGACTTTATTCTAAAACAAGTTGTTAATTCTTACAAACTGAAATAATTTAACAAATGACAATGTAATTTAAAAAAATTAAGTGTAATTATTGCCTGTATTTCACAGTCTAAAAGTATTATTTACTGTGGACCAGGACAGATTAGGATACGACCATGGGGACTATAACTACAGAAGAATTTGATCTCATGAAAGACTCTAAATATCGAATGTAAGTAAAAACTATATGTTACTACATATAGTCCATATAACATAAATTATTTTGTTTGAATAATAAGAAATACTTATTTACCAGAGCTGTCTTTCATATGAGTCATACATTATAAATATGAATGTGACTTTATTAAAACTAATAACTTATTTAAATATTACTTTATATTTTATTAATGTTTTTATTATCAAAGTTATTTATAATATGCAAAATTAAATTCATGAATACTATCAGTTTATTATTTTTGTGTACTAATTTAATGCACTTTAACTTGCTTAAAAACTTATTTTAAAATAAATTTTAGTAGTTAACTTTTATAAAATTTAATTGCTACTAAATGGTAAAAAAGTTAGGACTAAATAATAATATAACATTTTTACGAGAATCAAAAATTATTAAATATAATTCTTTGAACTGTACAAAATATTTGATTAAATTTTAGTTATATTTTATGTATATATTTTAAACATATATTATAATTCTTTTTTAAAAAAGAACACAGTACCTGGTTTTTTTAAGTGTTAATTGTAATTTTTTTGTTTACTACTAATCATCTCATTTTTATATTAAATTATTATTAAGTTAGACATTACACTTTCTAACAATAGAAAAAATATAATGAAAAACAACTTAAAAAATAATTTCTTCCTAAATTATTTATAATTTACTTTTGTAGTAAGAAATTGTTTAGATTTTTTTCCCATTTATGTATTGGTTAAGACTAAAATTGCTTTATTAATACTATAAATTATTTAATGTTCCTATCTGCATCATTAGAGAACTTAGCTCCCCCTAATTCTGAGGTAGCCTCCAAAAAAATTTTAAAATTGCATGTAAATTTATATAAAAATATTTTTAAAGAGGAAAGAAATTAAGTTAGGTCCCCTAAACATATTGTTCAAATTTAACCTATGTTGAACTATTATACAGGGTGTTCAGTAAGTAAGGAAACGGAATTCTATTTTTTTCATTGTTTATGACAATTGACCTGGTTCCTTACCTACTGAACACCTATATATTTAAGGTACTTATTTCAATTTTTTGTATATTTTTATATTTAGTTGTACTTATTATACTTTTTAACTATCTAATCAATACTTAAAATGATTTATAATTATCTACTTTTCAGGTATGTTAATGCAGTGGATAAAGCATTAAAAAGTTTTGAATATACAAGTGAATGGGCTGATTTAATATCAGCTTTAGGAAAATTAAACAAAGTAAGTCACTATTATACCAACGAATAAATATTGAATTTATAAATTTTCATTAATTAATTAAATTTTTATGTTATAAATAACACAGTATAAATTATATATTTACCTAAACACACATTGCTTGCTAAATCAGTATGATAACATCAATTTTGAAATTTTTTAGGATGAACAAAACACCAATTTGTTTAGTATTTATATCTAACAAAAAGAATTTATCTTTTTTTCTAAAACTCGATTACAAATTACCAACAATACCTGTTTGTACTTCTATGTAAAATAGTTTCTGATGTATTCGAGTTATATTATTGTTGTTACAAATCTTCACTTATTATTTATGTGTAATTTGATATTATAATTGTCAAAGCTTCAATATTTTAGAGCTATATAGAGAATCAATAAATTAGCTTATTTTATTTTTGAAAACCTAATTAGTTGCATCATAAATTATTGAATAATTTAAAAAACTGCAAAATTATAATATTTCTTTTACAATCATTTGCAACAAATTATTAAACATAACTAGATTCAATCCATTTCCATAGCTTCTTTAATATCACAGATTAATATTAGAACTAGACTAGTAGGGCATCAAGGTAATTATAATCTTGTGATTCCAAACTTAATTAATTTACAACCAAATAACTTTTGTTGCTCATTATATTTTTGTACAGTACTAAAAAGCTGAGAGATTTAATCATAAACTATGTTAATTGGTCTAATCTTTTAACTAATTTAGCCCTTAATCTTGCCTTGTCAAAGAATAAACCAGCTTACACAATTTTTTTTATCTAACTATATAATTTATTCAATGGTTTTCAATATTTAATTTTTGGAACTAAAAAAAAAACATAACCTTTTTCAAAATTAAAAAAAAATTAAATAGACTAAAAATAAAAAGATTGCTTTGGAAATAAAAGTGGGTGAAATTTTTTAAATTAAATTTAGAATAGAAATATAAGAATTAGATAAAGTAATCTGCAATGATTTACATGAAACATTGTTTGATTCAAAAACATTGTTGTAAAAATTTAATGATTATTAAATAATTTTTTTATTTAATTTGATTTAGAGAAAAAAATAACAGTATTTATAAGAAATGAAATTATTTAACTGCATATTATTATACAATTTTTAAAAGTATAAATTAATATTAAATGAACATTTTTAAACAACTGTTTTACTTTGTTTTATATTTAAAACTGAATTTGTGAAGTTATTATCATAAGCTATAATATAGTTTATGATAATTTAGTTGTATCTATTTTATCGCCACCTCAAAGAAATGGAATGTAACTAAATGTTTTTCATTATCCTTATTAATATATATTCTAATAAAACTTATTTATTTATATATTCCTTCAAAACAACATTACTTATATTCGTTGAAATTGTATTTATATATGATAATCAAGTATCACATCCACTAATTCTCTTAATTACTCTCAAAATAAATACAATATTGGAAAAAAATTTTTTATTTATTTTAGTTATGTATATTTTTTGATTTTTCAGCCATCACTTACTTTTAGAATGATCCCTTATAACTTATAGATGTGTCAACTTTATTTTTTTTTATGGAAACATACATAATTAACAAGCTTATTTAATAACTTTTAAAATATTGGTTCAAAAGTTATTATCAACTTTATATATCATTTTCCTAATTACATGATTTTATATTTTATAAGCTAGTAAAATCTGTATGTTGCCATTTGAAAAAAAAAGTTTGTTTCATTATAAGTTGTAAGGGATGATCCTAAAAATAATAAAAACTCAATAAATATATGTAACTAAAATATATCAAAAAAATTTTTCCTATTTTGTTATTTATTTGAAGGTAATTTTTTTGAAAATTAAGTATTCATTTCAAAATTTAGAATTATAAAAAATTATTATTTTTTTAAGTTCATAATTGTACATTTGATTTTTATTAGTAATAAGGAACATATTAATTCCAAAAAAGCGTCTTGTAAGAGATCTTTGCTACTAATTTTTGTTAGGAACTAAATTTTTTTATGCGTATTATTTAACTTAACATTGTTTAACATAATTGTAAATTATATTTCATGATAATAAAACTAAATGATTATTAGATGTGTAATATTACAGTCTTTTATTAGGTTACCAGAGTTGAACTTTAAAAAGATCAATTGACTATCTTATATTATTAAAATTAAATAAATTATTTGGTTTAAATATGTAGTTGAAATTTTTATATTAAGTGCTTTATCGTGATAAATTTATCACTGCAGTGCATGATACTTGTCTTTTAAATGCCATTTTTATAAAATTCAAGTTTATTAATGCTCAAAAAAAATTTTAAATTCCATTGAGATTTGTACTTGTGCTTAGTATTACAAATTTCCAACTTGATTACGTAGTTGACAAGTTATAGGAATAGCCCTATCGTGTTTTTTTTTTATCACAGTATACACGATTACTTTACTCTTACTGGATTGTTTTTGCTCAACGATACATCAAAAGTTCATAAAATTTATTTAGTTGGTACTATCAGAACTATAATTTTGAAAAAATCTCCGTCATAAAGGAAATTTTCGAAAAATTACAATTAACAGTAAAACAGTCAATGTTAATATTTTTAATAACCTTGTGTATATTATAATACATTTTTGAAAACTGCATGGATTATTGCGAAATATTTATTAGTAATACTTCAGACTTTTACCTTATTTATGAATGCTTTTTTTGAAAATTCAATCATTAATAATGAAGGTACCAAGACTTAAAAATCATTTCAATATTTATTTTTTTTTCGACTTTTCTAACCTTCTAAAAAATCTGAATTCTTTAAACTTATATTAAATTAATTTTAATATTTAGTTTATAATAAAAAATTTTTAATTATCTGAGATCTTGATTTTTTAAGTCATTGACTAATTGAATAACTTAGTGCAAAATCAAAATATTAAATTTTTCAAAAATCGAAAAACTAGACATTTTTAATATGTTACTTATCTACCAGTAAGTAACGCTATTTTTTAAATAATTTATTGTAACTATTTTTTTCTTAGATAGATATATTTGTTGTTTTAATCTTAATTTTCAAAATGTGATTTTGAAAAAAAAAATAGTCCTTCGATTAGTTCAAAAATTATATAATTTATGGTAGGTATGACCAATTTTTACATAGTAGCGGACTAATCGTTTTATTTTAAATTAAAGTTTGTTTAATGTTCTACATAGTAAAAAAAAGAAAAACATTGCTGTGCTTGTCCTTTATGAGTAATCGGCCTTGTAAGTCTAAAATCATATAATTTTTAATTGATATGTTAAATATTTTTTAAAGTTGTTTAAATTACGCATTGAAACTTTTTATAACTGTGATTTTCAATGCTGTCATCATTTTCGATATAGTCTATTTTTGGTTGTAATTTTTTTTTTCATTCAATAAAAAGTAGTATACAATTTGTACTGCAATATGTAACTCGCGTGTAAATAAGACTATGTTTTTGGTGGAAGTATATTCATATTATTATTTATTTATTATTAAATGCACACTTCACTCCCTCATTTTTTTATTAATTCTGGTGTGTTCTCCTGTAAACCATATGTTCATTTGTCTCTCACTTCTCTGGACTAATAAATTAAATCGTAAACTTACTATTGTTATTTAATTAAATTTTACTTATCATTCAATTTGGGATTGTTCGATTTTCATGATACTTAATTGATGTAAAAAATAAAGGTAGTTATAAATTCCAAAATTCATCAGGATAATATAAATTTTAAATATTTGTAACTAGCTATTTAAAGAATACTGATATTACTTATTTTTCTGGAGAGTTAAAATTATCTTATAATTTTGGAAAGTAAAGTAAAGTGTTTTTTCAAAATGTTAATTCAAGAATAAAAATAATTATTTATAAATAAAACCTAGGTATATGTTTATATTTGCTTAATTACGGATTGATTGGGTAGTGGTTTTTATATACCGCGGAAGACAAAAATAATTACACGATTAAGGTATATATATATTTTAGATGAATAGCGAATTTTTTTTTATGTATATTTCCTCATAGGGAATAGGACAAAACTCTAACCACTCCACTAATTCATTATTCAATAAAAAATAAAGTAAAAATCGAGTGATTGTTGGTAGTAAATGAATTTCCCTTCTTAAAAAACATTTTACATTACAATATATTTTTGTGAATGAAGTTAGAAATGGAAACAAGCTAAACCTCATTTCCCTCATTGTACCCTTTGGCTACGACCTATGTAAATAGTCTGGATACATCAATGTTTTGTAGGGTTTAAATAATAATCCTAATTATTTGACATCATTTTGTTTTAGAATTTGAAAATTACGCATTACTAAGTTAAGTCTAGTCATTAGTAATCTTTTTTAAAAATAATGCAATACATTTTCACATTAAAAATATTTTTTACAAAAGCATGATATGATATTTCACGGTTGGCGACTTGGTTAATCAAGGATTTATTCTGTACCCGAGAAGTAAAAATATCAAAGTTTATTATTGCTACTCTTTAAAAGAAACAAAAAATCATTTATTTGTCATAAGTTTTAAAAATGCTAATCATCAATATTTTTGTAAATATGTTTCATACAATTCAAAAATGAAATTTTAAAAATATACTTAGACCCTTTTGATTGACAAATATAGTGTTAATCACGTTATTTTGAAATCTCTTGTTTTCGTTTTATAGAAAAAAAAAAAAATGCAGATATTTTTGATTCCTATTAAAATTAATAATAATTTACTACCTTAAACTAATTTTTTTAATTTGAAGAGGGCTTATAATTTCATAGTATTTTTAATAGCTGACTAAAATTTATATAAATGACTTTTGAAGTTACTATAAAAAAGCTTACACTGCCAAAAGATATCGTACCGGGTCACTGATTTTAATTTCAATTTATATTATTTTTAGATTTTAATTTGGAGCCACGCCTAACTAAGAATCGATAATTTTAAAGGGACAAACGTTTATAAATTTATATATATGTAATATTTATAATATTATTTTTCATACATAATTTTTGTTTTGATTTATTGACCCATTACAATTGAATTATTCGTAGCAAAAACAATAATATAATGAAAATTTTTCTTAAGCGTATTTTGAAATTTTACTTTTACTGAAAACTTTAAACTCATCCTAACAACTGAATAATAAATTTATTATTAAACGTCGATATAGTGGTTACCATTGTATACATGCTTTTCTCAATTTTGACCTTAATATTGCTACTTTTAATATCAAGTACGCATTTCATAGCATTATTAAGTGGTTCGTTTACTGTCATTTATTAATCATTGTTATTTAATAATTTTTATTTCGTACGAATGAAAAACTTTTTAATCTTTATTTATTTTGTCCATCAATTATATGATATAGAATATAAACACGTGTATTGACATATTACATTTAAACCAGTTAATTTTATTTTAAATTAACTAGGCAAAATTATTATGAGGTGTGTAGAAATTGAAATTTTATTTTTTTAATATATAAGACCAGGGGATCTAGGGGCGTCATTTGTGGGTCGCAGTGTATACATTTGCGTATTTAAAATTAAAGCTCTATTCTTAAAAAGATACCACAAATGTACATGAAAAACAAAGAAAAATTTTAATTTTTTTACAAAAAATTAATATATTAAACACAAGTACTGTGTATTCCTAAAAGGACGTAAATACATATTTTTAATTTTCGTAATTATCATATTATAAATATTTTTGTATTTCCGAAAAACAGTATGTTTTTTTTTTTTTCAAAAATTAGATCAAAAATAATTTAATAGTTTAATAATTTTAATAAAACAAAAATTTATAAAGAAATAGTACGTTGTTTAAAATATTAAATAGCTTCCTTGAACAATTGTAAAAGTGTTAGTTACACCCCTATTTTTTAATATGGCGATATGTTATCGTAATAATAATCTTTATAACATAAATTATTATTTTGACAAGCTTTATTACATACATTTACCGAACTTAATATTTCTAATATATTTTACCAATTATCACTATAGAATAACTTGGTTATAAGTTGACTAAAAGATAGGAATAATTTGAAATTTCTTTCAATCTTTTTTCAACTATAGCAAACATTCAAATCCAATAAAATAACTGTGCAATAATTTTTTTTTTTATCTTATAATATATTTATGTATAGGTACTTCAGAGTTACACTCGATACCCAGTAATTCCGAGAGGTATAAAAATCAGCAAACGTCTAGCACAATGTATGCATCATGCTTTACCATCTGGTGTTCACTTGAAAGCACTCGAGACTTATGATATCATATTTAAGTGTATGGGCACAAATCGTCTGAGTCAAGACCTCTTTATTTATAGTGCAGGTTTGTCAAATACATTAAGAATTATTGACTTGCTCAAATTATATAAGTTAATAATACTTAATATTTAAGATAGTTTATGTCTAAAATCATAACTGATTATTCTTTGTTTTAGGATTATTCCCTGTTATGGGTTATGCTGCAATGAATGTTAGACCAGATTTATTAAATATTTACGAAAATCATTTTGTACCATTAGGCGAAAGATTAATACCAGGATTAAATGGTTTTCTAAGTGGAGTTTTACTCGGTCTTGAAGAAGGCTCTGATTTTTTTGATAGGTTCTGACTATTAAATTTCATTATTAGAAAGATAGTTTTAATATTTATTAAATTTTCAGAACTAATCGTCTTTTAGACAACGTATGTACTGGAGTTGGTCCATCAATATTTTTTAGTCACTTATGGGAATGTCTAGCTAATAATTTAGCTGTTAGGCTGCCTGCTATATTGTACATATTATCTCGATTTGATCGAAAGTTAGTCATAGAAAACCAAAGTTACATTATGGGCACTAACATTGATACAATGGTTACTGCCATATGTGCTTGTGTGCAAGATTCTTTGGTTCTAGTGCAGAGAAGTGGATTAGATTTTTTATTAGTTGGTTTTCCAATGCATAATACTCAATTGTCTCGTAGTGATATGATCCGACTAGTAACAGCATCTTTAGTAACCATTCTCCGTAGGGATATGTCATTAAACAGGTATGTTAATTTAGTTTATATAGATATAGTAATGCTCAGTTTAAATGTTCCAAGTTTAAAAACGTGAAATATTAATTTTTATATTACTTAAGTTTATAAAATTATAACTTACTATTGATCAAAAAATTAAACCGTATCGAAAAATTGCATCACGTTATTTGATTGTGAGAAATTTAGAAATTGTTCAATGTAAAAATAATTTTTTTTTTTTATATAAGATTTTTTTTAGATTTGCTAAACTTCTTCCTTTTATGTAAACCACAAATTAACACATTATATACTATTACCTCAAAAGCTCATACTAGTGGTTGCTTTAAGGTAATGTGATCCCATCCCTTCCTAATATAAGTAAAAATCTATTGTAATATTTATGATAATATAACTAAATATATTTACTTACTAGCTTAAATAGGTTTACTCAAAAAAGAAAAAAATACTTTTACTCAAATTATTTGATTTTAAAGTTACAGCCACAAAAAGAAAACAATGAAGAGTATTAGATCTTTATAATATTAATTATGTTATTTAATTTATTTTTATTTAGGCGATTATATGCATGGTTACTAGGAAATGAAGTTAATTTAACATTGTTGAATTCTGAGCACCCTTTAGTAGTATTAAGAAAAGCACGGAAATATACATCTGTTAAATATTTTGAAATGTATTCTAGGGATTTACTTGTACAGGTTTGTTATCTTATTAGATTAAATTATTTACTTATTAGATTAAAAAAATCTAATACTTGTTTTCAGGCTATTAAAATCAAACTTCATGAAGCTACTGGTAGTCAACCTCATGATCTACGACCATATAGACTCCTTATATCTTTATTAGATAAAACTGAAATTGGTCCTGTAATCCTAGATGATATATTATATGAAGTTTTTAGACTTTTATATTTATGTTGTCAAAATGATACAAAACTTGATAAATCATCTGAATTAATTAAATCTGCAAATTTATTATTTAGTTCTCTGGAACCAAAATATTTGTGGGAATATATAGGAAATATGTTTTCTCATGCATGTCAACTATTGACCAAGGATGATCAATGTGATAATTTACCAAGTGCTGTTAAGCCAGTTGGCAGTGGTGAATTAACTGTAATTGAAATTTGTTCTTTAACTGATTTTTTATTAGATGCTATATCCTTTGAAACATTTACTGAAACACCTAGTGAACACTTACTGGAACTTTTTATTCACATAGCAAATACATTGACTGATCACTGTGATATGTTGACTGCAGATCAAGCAAGTACAGCACTAATGTTATTTTTAAAAATTCTGTCTAAAGTTCAACCAGCATTATTACCTCCTACTGATATGGGATATAGTTCTTTGGAACAAACTGTTGAACCTCCAAAGAAAGCCACTGAACCAGGAAAAATAGTACAGTTAAATGTAGAAGTACCTAAAATAAGTGGAGTTAAACGAGCTCCATCACCTAAGTCAATGACTATATCAGATACTTCTAGTATTCAATCTGAATCAACAATTGTTGCTGAAAACCCCTCTTTAGATTTACAATCAGATACAACCAGTGGAATTTTTGATGGTGATTCTATAAATTCTGCTATGATGGTACAAAATTGTAATCAAAAAGATCAGCAAAGTATTTACAAATTATGTATAAAGCAATATGAAAAATATTTTGTCACATTTGTATATGGTGTAAGAGCAAATATTGGAGAAACTAAGGGTCTATCAGTATTAATGGATGCTTTGAAAGTTAAATCACCACAAACCACTGCTGAAGATAGAGCAAGACATTTGGAAGAACTATTAAATACTGTACTAAATTCACAAAAACAATCAATTGATGAAAACTATGAATATGAAGGTACTGATGAAATATCACCCCTAACTATCTTAAACAATAAACGTAGTGCAGGTTTAGAATGGACAAAACCTGTTATGTTGGCTTGTAGAGTACTTGTAGATATTTCAACATTTCAAGCAATGCCATTATCTGAATCAGTATCATCATTAATTAGTTCTATTGATATCAAAGATTTAGACAATAACATACTTCCTGAGTGGTTAAAACTGATAATAGTATGCTGCTGTTGGTTAGGAAATACAGCTCCTTCGCTTCAATTAGTTACAATTAGTACTCTTGTAGATATAGTAGCACTATGCCGAAGTTCGCAACAACATTATAAATCAAATGAATCAAGAAATGGTGTAATTTCATTAGTTCTACTACCTCTATTAAAACCTATACAATTATATTATATTGAAAATCATACAAATGTTTTTCACGTAAGTTTTTACCAATGAGTATTTATTTATTATTATTTTAATTAAATTTCTGTATTTTAGGTTATTGCCCATTGGCTTTGGTTCCATTTAGCAAATCCTCTCTATCAAGTTCGTTGTGTTGAACTACTCTATTTATTACAAAGTTCTTTACATTCTAGTGATATAGTTGAAAATTGTATTGGTAAGTTGTAATTTAATATGAAGTTTGTTTACACATTAAATCAAAGAATAATGTCTTTTAACTATGTGTATTATTTTTATTTTTTTTCTTCATAATTATGTTTTATTTTTGTGGTTTCTGTAGTATAAGTTATTATACAATCAAAATTGTAGTCATTAATTGTTTTTATATATAATAAAGATGTTATTGTCATAATTCAATTTGTTCAAAACTTTTATTTAGTCTGCAATAATTTCAGTAAAAACATATTCATGTAGCAACATTAAATAAAATAATTAATTATTAAATAATAATTAAAAGAAAAATTGAGGAATTATGATGGAATTTAAATAGTTTGTTCACTTCTCATATTGCACCTATGACAATTACATTTTACTACTATAATTGAGATACATATCTAAAAACCACATATAAAGTTAGATGAATTAATACATTTTTAAAATATTTCAATTAAAATTTTTTAGCTATGTATTTTAAGTATACGTGTAATATTGGATCAGTTATTAATTTAAATATGGACAGTAAATATTAAATTATCAGATATTGGAAAAAGTAATATACTGATATTACTTTTTTAGTTCAGCCCTATTTTTATTTAGTTTATACATATTATGTAGGTGAAGGATATTAATGAATTGTCATGAAATGATATTTTATAAAATAAATCATATATAACTATTGAAAGCTTTAAAAATTCTCTAAATTATTTTTATTTTACAAATTATTGATATTATTATTGTAAACTTTAAAAGACACTATGAAATATTTTTTTTAAATCTGACTTATATTTTCTATTTATTAGGAGAAGAGTTAACATCAAGAAGAGCTTCAGATTTTCATAAATTAAATTCATTTAGAAAATTTTCACTTCTGTGGCATGTTGGTCGAGAATTAGCAGCAAACTCTCAAAATGTTAGCGATATGTTTTATAAGTAAGATAATTTTATAAATATTTTATTTTATAAATAATTCAATAATATTCTAATAACTTTTTTACTGTAGGTCCATGTTAAAAATGTTAGATAATTTAGAATTGGGAGAAAGAAATGCAATAAAAGTAGAAGCAGAAAGTTGGTTATTACATTCACTTCTCAGAGGAGATATTGGCCGCTTAATTGATCCTCTAATTTTATTACTACTAGATCCGTGTACAGCACGTTTAAGTGTTCTTCATGCTAAAGTAAGTCCTTCACAAAACAATGAAACACAAGAACATCTAGACTCAACTTCTATGGATCCATCTGCAAAAATATATGCTATTAGTTCAGTTGATGGGAATATTATGTATCATGTTGCCGATAAATGTAAACAGACATTAGGTGTAACATCTAATAAAACTAAACGTGTATTTGCTATAACTACCTTAGCAGAACAAGACTCATCTAATTTATTTAGCCGTTATGTGACTGTAAAAAAATGTCAAATGATGACTCGATATGAACCTTCTATAGCTGAAATGTCTGAATCACATCATAAAAATATGTCTCTACTTCAGAATATATCTGTTTTTGTTAATCCATTTTCTGTAGATCCTAATGTTAGTAACAACAATGAATTTGATGAAGATTATTCCGAGGAAAAAAAAGAAAGTACTCAATATACTATTGAAATGTTAAATAAAATTAAACGTTTTAAATCTAATGTTCAAAATACTGTACGGCGTTCTCCTAAAAGAAAACCTGAAAGTAAAAATATTCTAAAATCTGTACAACGAACTGGATCTTATTCATCACTTGACTCAATTAAAACTAACCCAGTTATGAGTTCTACAACCATGATGTCACCAATTGATTTATTACATTTTTCATCAATATCTGATACAATATCAGATACTATTTTTCCTAGAGTTTCTGATGGTGAAACGTATCGTAATAATATTAGAACTTCAGCTTCAGCTACTGATATGAATGGTCATTTTAATCTAGAAAGTGAAAAAGATTTAGTAAGAAGTTATTCTTTTTGTGGAAATGAACAAATCAAAATTGACACAGAAGAGTCAACTCCTGCTGATGAATATTTTGATCCTACAAAGTCTGAAGAAACATCAATTATTCAAGATGTACTTAATAGTGTTTTAGATGCAGTGGTTGATGAAACTGTTATACCTTTGAATGATGAAGAAGAGGATGACGATTTGACAGAAATTTCAGAATCAATTAAAGAAGATGTTTCTATAGCGCCACCTGAATATAATATTGATGGAAATGTTAGAAATATACATTCCCATTTACTGTTGTATTGTGGAATTTATGACGTTCAAAGAACATTGTATGCTTTTAGTACACTAACTAATATGCTAAAAACAAATGCACGAGCTCTTCTATGTGCTGCTGCTACTACATCAGTTCCAATAAAATCACAGATACTTATTCTTCTTTCAAGACACAGAAAATCCATGTTTGGCAGAGGTTTTCATGGAGAAATTGATATGACTGGTATTCCATATAACCGAGGAAGTAGTATGTATCTCGAGTTACTTATATCAATATGTCTTTATTATATAAGAAGCTATTATCCGAATTTGGGACAATCAAAAATTGCTCAAGAAGATGTTGCAGGTAATCGACAAGTACAAATGTCAAGTGTCGAATTATTGAGCCTTATATGTTGGGAACTAAGTGGTATTGTGAGAGATAGTGGGCGTGGTCTAGCTTGCTATTTGGCTGAATTATTAGCTAGATGTAAAGCACAAAAAGTAGCCTTGCACTGTTTACTTAGTAGTGTATTAGAAAATTCAGGACCAGAAATTAAAGCTACTAGTTTTACTGCTGAAATCCTCTCGTTTAATAATCATGATCCGACTGATCAAGGTGCTATGGAAGGCAGAATGAACCGTGAATCTGAAGCTTTTCAAGCTTTATTATTAAGATTATTACTATCATTAATAATTTTAGAACATGAAGTAGATAATAGTCGTCATCGAGATAACAACGTAATAACTGAATCTCAAGGAGATATAGCTGCAGACAATGTCGAAGGAACTGATGTAAGATATTTGTCAGGTAGGCCAATTCCTATGCAACCTATGTTTGTAACTGCACTTGTTGCTGCTTTACATCCATCAGCTCGTATGAGACATTCTCATATTAATTGGACATCACTTGTCACATCTTCATTACCATATCTTGGACCAGCATTAGTTAATGTTGTTTCTGTGACTGTACGTCAATTATGTGCCAATATTGAAACACTGGCAGATGTCTATGCTGACAGCAGCAAAAATGTGAATTTAAGGTATATTTTATTTTTTTATAAAACAAGTATGCAAATCATTACAATACACAGTTATAAATAAGACTCAAAATTTGTAGTATTTTCATATTTTTCCTTATTACGCTAACGCATAGTTCATCAAGTATAAAATCCAATTTATATTTCACAAAGTAAAAATATAAGATTTTTTAGTGCATTTTTTAATGATATGTGTGAATAACTACATTTTTGATATTTCTATAGTATATCTCCAAATGTTATCAAACTATTTTGTAATTAAAATTTTGAATTGAATTACTCGCTATTTACTTTAAACATATTTATTATTGATAACTTTTTAATGTATTAATTGTAAGTTTTTAGGTTTATAAATTTTTAATGCATTATTTATTTAACTTTGGTCTTGAGAGACTGAAATTACTAAGCGTGTCAAAGTTATACCAATTGATTGCATAATCTTAAAATTAATTAATAATATTTGAAATAACCTTTTCACATTAAAATATTTTTTTTAGATTACCTGCTGATTATGCTATAACACAACTTGAAGCTCTTACAGTTTTATGTCATTTTTGCCTCCTTGATACTGGACAACCATTTAATAATCCATTAGATCAAAATTCTTCTGCAAACCCAAATACTCCAGCACAAATTTTTAATAATCTTGTACATGTTTTTATACCATCTCCTCTTTTAGCAGTAAATTATATATTTTATATAACTTTAATGATTATGTAGTTAAATTGTATTGAATAATTAAGTTTTCTCAACTACAGCTTCAAGATCAATCGCTAAATGAAGAAAATGAACCACAATTAGGAGCAAGAAGATCTCTTTTAGCTAGCTTACCACGAATAGTAGCCAGTATTTCATTACTTTGGAAAGCTCTTAGTACTGGAAAACAAAGGTATTGCTAGTATAAATGTACATAATTCTTTTAAATAATTAAAAGTTGTTTTTTAATAGTGAAAATAGTGTTGCTGGATGTCCAAGATTAGTCAAAGGTCAAGTTTTAGAATTGTTAAGCCCAATAGCAGAGCACCATGGTAATAGTTTCTTAACTGCTTTTTCAATTGTTTGGAAAGAAAGACGATCACGAACTTCTGTTCTGTCTCCATCTGTATGAATGATAATTTTTTTTAATAATTTTAAAAATATCTTTTTAATTGAAATATTATTTTATTTATTTACTAAATAGATAATTCCTGAAGCAAGTGAGATGCAACTTATACTTGTACAGTTATTAAGTTCTATTAAATCTATGCCATTAGATTCTCTTATACAAACTATTCATCAAGTAGTTAAACAACCATCTCTTAGTCAAGTAAGTTAAATACTAGGTTTTATTTTATCTCTTTATAAAATATAAGTAATATGTTTATATTGTATATATAATGATTAGTAAATCTACTTAACATAAATGTAAAAAATGAATTAAAGTTATATTCTCATGTTAAAGGCACATCCAACTTACTTATCTACTTTTTGAATATCAATATTTTATTTTCTATGATGCCTAATCACTATACAATTCATATAATTAAAAAAAAAAATTATTTTTAGGCTGGTCAACAAGATACACAAATTAGTATTGAAGTCAGTGTATTAGAACTATTTATTCATTATGTACAACTTACTTCAGGTCATTATCTAGCTGAAACTTGGCAGTCTCTTCTAGGACTGCTAAAAGAAGGATTAACATTATCACCGCCATCTCAATTCATGTTATTATCAGTATTAAGTCAGTTTGTACATAGAGCTCCTGCTCCTTTGACTGATCGTAAAGATCAAAAAGACCTCCAAGACATAACTGCTAAGGTAATTCTTTTTGCATTTACTTAATTTTATTGAGTGTAACTAAAGGTCTTAAGAAATAAATAACTTGAACAATCATTCATTTGAAATTACACAGGAGTAATTAATGTGGCTTGTAAACAATTATTTTAAATATAAAAAACCAACAGAACAATTTAATTTTGTATACTATTGCATGTTACTATGTTCAAGCCCTTCCTTTAAATAATGTACTTATCAATTTTCAAAATAAGTATGCCTTAAAAAAATAAATATGTAAGATAGTCTACAAAATTTTTTTTTTCCAAATTATAACAAATTTAATTTACTAAAAGAAAACCGATCTTATTGAATAAAATTGGATCAATAAGAGCTGAAAATTTATACTGATATAAAAAATCAACACATCATATAATTTAAAATTATTAAAAGATAAAATTATTTTCATATTATAACCAACAGTTTACATTTTTATAGATGAAATTTGTGAAATTATTGCCAACATCTCATGTATATGTTTTATTAATATATTTTTTACTTCAAATCATTTTAGAAACTTGTATGAAAAAATATAAATTAAAAATAGTTTTTGTTTTAAAAAAACTTTTGAAAAAATTTGTAAAAATGCGCTGAGCCATCCAAAACTAAGGGAATATGATAAAATTGTTTTTGCTGACTTATTGATATTTTTATATTGCGTGATCATTTTTAAGTTCTTCTTGATATATAGAAAAATTAATAACTAAAATGTTTAAATATTGCTTAATGAGATAAGTTATCACAACCTCCTTTGAGGTCGCTTTGATAAAAAGCTTTCATATGTTTTATTATACTGAGTGATTGTTTAAATATGACTCACACAGTTCTTTCAAAATATAAAATATGTTTCTTTATTTTTAAAAGTTAATAGGATATTATGTTTTATAATTTTGAGGAAAAAAATTGTTTCTTCCCCCTCTAAAATTTTATCATTTTTTGTTTTTTTTTAATGGAAATGTTTTTAACCAACTTACAAACTAGATAATAATATATCTAGAACATGACTGATCAATAACAACTTTTAGAACTTTTAAGTTATTAACTCTATAATATAATGACTAGAGGTGATGCATGGGACTGTTAATTTTTATCTCTAAGCATTAATGAAACACACTATTCCAGCCCTGTTATAAAAATTTCAGTTAAAAATATATGTTTACATTTAAAAAACGAAAGTTGATAAAATTTTAAGGCAAAAAAGAAGAATTTGACCAAATTGTTATCTGGAAATTATAGTATGTAAGATACTATTAACTTCTGAAAATAATTATATTAAGTTTTATATTTTTTAAGTTATTGTGTGAGTTATAGTTAGACAATCACTCTATACATGAAAGAATAATAATAGAATTATTTTAATGTTTTTATACCATTTATTATAGATGGTTGAAAGTTGCTCTCAAATAGCTGGTGCGTGTTTAGAACAAAGTTCATGGTTAAGAAGAAATGTATCAGTGAGAGAACATGAATTATCTGCTGCTAATTCTATAGCTGAAAAAGACATTGATAAAGGTATAAGGATTAAGTAGCTGTCAAGTTTATTTATACAGAAATAATAAAAAAAAATTTTTTTAAATAATATTTAAAACGATAAAAAACTTATTTGCTAATTTAAAAACCTGTTGTTTTACTATCAATTGATAGATATTTTTATGTATTATGGACCTACTGTAAAAATTAATTTTTTTTTTAGTAAAGTAAGTCATATAGGTGTTGCAATTTTTAAGTATTTAGAGATAATTAGAGAATGTTGTTTTGTAGTATATTAATTTATTTATACAAAAAATAATACAGTTATTATATTATGTTTTAATTTTACTTGATAAAAATTTAAAAAAAATTTTGTAAACCAAGTTATGGCTATATTTGTTGGATCCACTCTCATGTGTCATGCCTTACATTGACCCTCACAAAATTTTACTGCTTGATTAAAGTCAGTCGAACAAAAAAAAAATAATTACTTTAATTGTTAACATAGTGCCTAATCGAGATTTTTAAAGGAAATATGACTAATTATATTGTTTATAAAAATACAAATTCTTTTGTTCAGTCACTAGTTTTTTATGTTTCCAATAAGTTGTATAAATTTTATTTGAATCCATCGAGTTGTTTTTGAATTACAGTAGTTGTGATCTGTCCAACATGGCTATAACTTGATCCACAGTAAATTTTTTTATTTTTGTCAACTAAAGTCAAAACATAATATAATAACTTTATATTATTTATTATATTAATAAATAAAAACTAGTGAAAAAAAAATATGATTTAAAATACTCATTATTTCATCTCACTAACTACTTCTAATCCCTTAACTTTTCATTCATATCATTATGTATAATATGTGTCTCAATGTGCACTGCTTCATTATACCAGTTTTGATGTAAATAAATTAAAGTATATACTAAAATAGTGCATACTAAAAATTTTTATTAATGTTTTAAAATAACAAAATATCAATTTTAATATGTGACTAATACTTTAATTTCCATGTCAATTTTTTTCTTATTAATCAATAATAATGTCATTTAAAACTGTTAATGTTATAAAAATTTTTATTGGTAAATATTTATATATTACTTAATAAATATTTAGTTAAAAAATATTGTTAAAAACTGCTTCATTTTAGATAAGAAATTTAAATCTCATTAGTCTTATTGTGGGTTGATTCTCATTGTACTCCTCCCCTTTTCCCCATATTAGCTTAATTTAAAGTTAGAAATATTCATAATTATTGATTGATAAGTATTGTATTTACTTTTATTATTGTATTTATCTTTTAACATCCTCTCTGAAAAGCTATGTTTGTGTTGGTAAGAACAGGAAAACCTACCTACCTCAGCACAATGTAATCAAAGTTCAATACATAGACACTGACATGTTTTAAAATGAGCTAAATAGATCACCTACTTTGGTTGACTTATTTTGTTGTTAGGTTTTTTGTTATTACATCTCATGAGTAATACATATAAACACCAATAGCTTAATTTGCTTATAAATAATAAAATAAACATTTCAAGTTTGGCACACTCACAAATTATTTTTTACAGTGTATTAATTTATTTTATTTTTTTTAGTTGGAAGTGGTAGTGGAACTAATGCTCAGTACAGTATACCAGCCCAAAATGTTCTTGCCCAACTCCTTGCTCCTCTTTTAGATATAACATTTGGAAATCAAGAAAAAGAAAGAGTGTGTACTATTCTAACTATGGTGATGTATAATGTGACTCCATATCTAAGAAATCATACGTAAGAATTATATGATATTTCTAGTATTATAAATAAATTTTAAAGTTTATAAATAAAAACTACATTTCAACTAATATATTTGAAATATTTTTTAGGAATAAAAACATGCCAAGTTTTTATGCCTGTTCACAAATTTTAGCAAGTATTAGTACCTATCAATACACTCGCAAAGCTTGGAAAAAAGATGCCATGGAACTACTTCTTGATCCCACTTTATTTCAAATGGAAGACCGTAGTATACAGTACTGGAAAATTATAATAGATAACTTAATGTCACAAGATACAACTACTTTTAGAGATTTTATGGGTACTTTAATTATTTATCTTCCCATAAGAATATTCCTATCAACTTTTTTATTTTAAGGACGAGTGAACATGAGTCAAGCAAATTCTTTAAATTTGTTTTCCAATAGAGAGCAAGAATATGAACAAAGAGCCCAATTATTAAAAAGATTAGCATTTGTTTTACTATGTAGTGAAAAGGATCAGTTCCATAAACATGTTCCAGAAATACAAGGTATTATATTTTATTCAGTTTCTTAAAGTATACAAATTTAAAAATATTATTAGTAGTACTAATTTTTCTCCTAAATCTTATATAATAGGTGTAAATTGTATTTTTAGTTATCTTTAAATAATTAATATAAATTATAGAAAGGCTTGTTGATACACTTCGAATGCCCCAGTCAGGCCCTGGTATCCATGCTCAAGTATTTTTATGCTTTAGAGTGTTATTGTTGCGTATGTCTGGTCATCATATAACTTCTATGTGGCCAATTATTGTTAGTGAAATGGTTCAAGTGATGATACACATAGAACACAACTTAAGTACTGATACGGAAGAATTCAGGTATTTAAAAAATGTTTACTATTTGTATTATTGATATCCTAATTTTCTCTTTGAATGTTAACATCTATATTGTTTCTGGGGCATTTGGCTGATCTTCAATTTTTTTGGCTTATTGCAGGAGAAATACCAGGTATGTTTTAACTATGCTTGTGGCTATAGTTGTTTATGGTGCTTTTAAAATTGTGTGTTTCATTAACATAGTTTCATAAATTATTATAACATTTTATTACCAAGGTTAAGTCAATGTTGCAGCTTTAAGGTGTATTGGGTTATTTTTATCTTATAAACTTCTATATTCCTTACTTATTTTTGTTTTAAGAAATATTGTATTTTAATAAAACTAATAAGGCTAATGGTAAAAAAACAAAAATTAATCAGTGATTCTTTTTTCCAATATTCGACCATATATCCATTCCTTAATTTCCTCATTGATTATAGTAGTGAAGAAGTGAGTGTAGCTGAGTCTTCTCCTAAAGTGATTCCATCATCAAGAAGGCGGAAAAAATGGAATCAACGAAACAAGTATAATTTACAAGCTGCTGAAAACAAACAATCTTCTTCAAATTCTAGAAAGTCTACAACAATTGCCAACAATATAATTGAAAAGTAAGTTATAATGATGAAAAATAAAACACCAAAAGGGGAAAAAGAACACTAATTAGTTTCTTTAGACGAACTTAATATCACTGTTTGTTACCATTCTAATGAATACCACATATTTTTATTAAATAATTATTATCATTTGCAATTAATAATTTAAATCAAATTGACTTGACCTTGATATATAATTTAACTTGGTGTGTGGTAGTATGCAATGTTATTAGATATTAGTTTTTTTGCCTGCCTGTTGGTTTATAAATATTTTGCGAATTATTATATACTAGTGAGATAAAATGAAATATGTTTTTTATGTTGGGCATTAATTATTTATCTTTATAATGTAGGTGATTATATTGAGTGTAGGATCAGAGGAACATTCTGACTAAAAAATTTCTTTTTTTTTTTAACTAGAGTTTTTTTTGTATAATTTAGGATTAGAATAATAGAATTCTTAAGATTTGAAGCCATAAGTTAAGTAAAAGTACCCTAAATGTTAATTTGATCTAAATCTAAATTTAAAAAAAATATAGCATTGTTAGAATTAATTTTTTTTCGTATCTTCCTCTGACTTTTAGAGGACAATATATAGATCCTATAACTTATACATTTTTATTATTTATAGCCAACATTTTGTTTGAATATTTTCCCTATTAATATGCGATATTATAATTTTGCTACATATAAAAATATATCAGTTAAATTATTCTTTATTTTTTATGAGTATAGTATAGTATTTAGTTAATTTAGTTAAGTAAAATTAAAATATATAAAATTTGTCTTGATAATATAATAATTCAAAATTATTTTAGTAAATATTGTTGTTACCTAACCCAATTATCAAACAAATAATGAGTTAAAAAATTATAAGCTTAAAATATTAACTGCTTAATGGACCTAACCTCAAATATCATGATTTTGTTTGTTTGTTTTTTGAGAATGAGAGAGATGCTTTTAATATATAATTAAAATATGTATTATATTTATATTATAGGGACTGTTTTTTAATACAATTTAAATAAAATGATTTATTGTAACCATTTTCCATAATACTCTATCTATTTTTTTTAACAAAAATTTTACTTTGTAGTAAAAAAATCATGATAAGTATTAAAAATGTTTAAAAAAATATTTATTTTAAAAATTGAATATTCCTTTTTCAGTAGTAAAAATTTTGTTTTTGAAAATAATTAAAAATATAAGCAAATTGACAATAAAACAAACAAATTGTTCATTTTATACTACAGTCAGTGGCAATTCAAGAAATTTTTCAAGAGGTAAACCTGACTAAGCCCTAACTTTTTACTGAAGGTCATTAGGCTAGCTTTCACAAATTATTATGTATAAATCCATAAATTTTAGGTTTATTCTAAAAAATTATTGAGTGAATCCTAGCAACCTTTGATGTCTCCTAAGGGTGTCATTTTTAATATACAAGGTATACATTTGTCTACCTATTATTCAGTAATCCTGTTGTATTATTTTGACCCCTAAGGAATTGGTTAACTACCCTCCCAATCTTCACCTTTTCTATAACTCCCCATTCATATCCTATATATCCAAGTATATAAATATTTCTGCAGTATGTGTACCAAAACGAAAATTTAAATGATGCCTCCACTGATTGTAAAACATAATTTATTTTTCAATTATTCATCACTTGTTTTAAATGATTATTGATTTATATTTAATGTGCTTAGTTAACTTACTAATAATTATATGAGTAACATTAAATTTAAAATATTTGAAACCATGATTACTTCAATTGATGTGCATGGTCTAATTCTACCATTAGTGACAATGTCAATAAATTTTTCTTGAGTTAAAAAAATAGAAATAATCTATTAAATTTTATTTTATTATTTAAATTATATATTTTTTTATATGTTCCTTAGACTTAAAATACTTTAATATTTTTTAATATTTATTTTAGTTCCCATATTAGACTTTTGTCTGGACTTGATTGGACATGGGTTGTTAATAGTAATAATGGTCTTCATGCCACTGGTAACCCCCAATGGTTACAGCTTCAATTAGCTGCAGTAAAACTTCTTAGTGTTGCTATTCAACTTCCTGCTGATATTCTCCCTCAATTTCAAATGTAAGTATTTATGATTATGAAACAATAAAACATTTACTTATATATCAAAACTTCGTGAATAGGTACAAATGGGCCTTTGTTGGAAGACCAGAATTTTCACCAAATGAGCAGAATCTAGTAGAATTTGTACCTCATGTTATGAGGATAGCTAGAATAATGGATACAAAGGTAATACACATTTAAATAAATGGTAATTATATTATACATCATAAAATTTAGTTTGATATTTTAGTTCAAATTACTAAATTATAATTTTTTTTAAGAAATGAAAGATATTTGTCTCATTCTAATGTTTTAAATCCATAACAGCTCTTATAATTTTCAATTCATTAAACATTTTATATCTTTCTTCTATAATATTAAAACATTTTTGTTAGATATTGTTGATAATATCTATTTTGTTAGCATTGTTTAGAAAATTGGCTAAGTAAATTTGAAAAAATTTGGACCCCCTAATAAAACAAATAATTCTATAATTTAAAATTTTTTTGTCTCTGTACACACTGTGTTGGTTTGACCCTAAGATACCTATTCATTTTTATTTATTGCTCAACATTTTTATAAATAACTTTTCATCAAAAATGTTAGCACTAAGTAAATTATATTATAAAACAAATAAAAATGGTCAAACACTTTAATTTTGTTGTATATATAAACCCACCTAATCTTCTATTTATTTATACATATTTTGGACTTCTGAAAAATTATTCTGAATATGGACACTCTTTTATTTATTTATTTTTTTAAACAGACCAATATTATATAATACAAAAGAAACAAAAAGTTCAAATTAAAATAACATGAAAATTACAAGCTTTTCGTGATAAATCATTGAATATATCCAAAAAAAAACTAGAAATAATAATAATTATAAAACTTTAAAAATATAACAATTGAAATTAGATATAAGTTTTTATTATCATTTTTTTTTTATTTTATTGCAAACATTTTTTTTATGTTATAGAAAAATATTACCAATGGTAAATATTTTAAGTTTAATTCAAGAATGTACATTTTTTTTTTTAAAAAAAAAGTAAAATATTAAATTAAAAGCTATTATTAGACTTGTTCATTTTGAACATTTGAGATGATTATGTGGAAGTGGTCTAAGTCACAAAAACTAAATTTTTCAGGAGAAGGCAAAAATATTTATCTTAACCATGTGTGAACTTATATAATTCCCCTTAGTTTCCCTACAAGTTTATTTTTTTAACTGTGGTGAATTTCTAGACAGAAATGTAATTAAATTTTTTTATAGGGTTTCTAAGATTTGTATTAAATGTTTCCCAAAAGAAAACGAAAAACTAAAGGCTATATGCAAAAACAAGATAACAAAATTTTCAGGAAACTAAAAAAAATAGACATTTTTAATCTTAATTTTTATTTACCAGATATCTTAAAAAATTCTATATTTTTTATAATATTTATAATAAATATTTTTTTCTTGGATAGGTGTATTCATTATTCTTATCTTATTAATGATTAAAATCTGACTTTGAAAAATAAATGTAGTTATTTTATTTTTGCACAGAGTCCTTCAATTTATCTATTTGGACTTAGTATCTATAACCATGTTAACAAGTCATTTAAGTTTAACTTTGGAAAATCACTTTTTTTAAATTTTCTTTCTAATTTATCCTAAGTAAAATATTTATCCACAAGTATTTATTTAAATGTTTTAAATTAGTTTTATAAATCAATATTATTCAACTAAAATATTTAATATTTACTTTGAACATTATAGTATGGAAATCCAGTTGAAACTTATCCAGATACTTTGTTACCCACTGGTTCATCAGCTCGATCATTGCAAGATCTTCATCCATTCTTCTCAGCATTGAGTACTGGCGAACCTCATCCATCTTTAAACAGTACTATAAGTCAATTAGAATACGAACTAGAGCTAGATTTCCTAGAGTCGATACCGTCCAGATAGGTTGATGCAATTCTACCTGAACCACCATACCTACGACAAACTGTGATGTTGTACATGTAAATAAAAAACTTAAATTATTTAAAAAAAAACTAATCATTTTAAATATTGTTATTTTTGCAATGTTCGTTTTAATGTAAAAAATATTATTGTGGTTTTTCTGATTGTTGAAGTTTTGTTCTTTTTATTAAGTGGTGATATGATCATTCCGTTTTATTTAGTGAATAAACTCACACAATAATTCTGCAATTTTAAAATTGTAATTTTTTACAGCTACTTAGTAAATATTGTCAAAACACATGCTTTGGAGCACAAAACATTAACTTATTAAATTCTATGTTACCTATTAATGTTGTTAAGTTTGTCATGTTTAGGACCAAAATATCTGTTTGATTATGTTATCAATTGTCTTTACTCCCGCAAGTTAATTTAAATTTTAAATTTTAAACTAAAATAGTTGTTAAAACTTAAAAATATAATTGAAACATTTATAATAGTATACATTTTTGTCTATTGACTTCATTATTTTTATTTTACAATGATCTTATATAAACCAGTTTAAAATAAATAAATATATTTTCTATAATTAAAATTTATTTTATTAAAAAAATATACTAGACATCAGTATTTAAACCTTCTTTTAGAATTATTCTAAAAGTTTTATTTTCTTAATTTATTTTTATTGTTTATGAAAACTAAACTTACTCGTACATTAAAAAATATTAAGTAAAATATTTTTTTTTCAAAAGTTTTATGCTTTCCTATGAATTGTAAATTCTAAAAATATGTAGTTACATATTTAACTAATTAAAAATGTGATAATTTTAGAAATGTCTTATCATAACCTACGCCTCATTTCCAATCTATATTTAAAAAAGTTAATATTTTACAAAATACTAATATATATTCCGGAAATATTACGAGCTTTAAACATATGTTGATTTAAAAAAAATGCATACTATAAGATAATATCAATTTTTGTGATAAAATTTTCGATTTCATACTTTATTTTTTCGACTTTATATTTCTATTATATTATCTTTTTAAAATATATAAGCGTTATTAAAATTTTTTGGTAAATGGTTTATACATATACCTTTTATCTTTATCCATATACTTTTTCACTTTAATTTAAAACACCCTATAAAGAGGAGGCAACAGCGATGGAATCACCTATTTTCATAAATGTTATGTAAATGAAATTTACATTAAATGATTTATAAGTATAATACATAAATAAATACTTATAATAGTGATTAAATTCAGTATGAAATAGATTTTTAATAATTTAATATTTTTAATTTTTTAGAAAAATTTTAAGAAAAGTTATTGTTTACAGAGTGATTTTTTTTAATATTAGCCACTCGATATCTTTTAAAATAAATGTTATATTAAGAACATTACTTTTGATGCTTTATTAATTTCATATATTTTTCGATGCATAATTTATTAAGTATTTTTTAAATCCATCCTTTATACTTCTAGATATCATCTTTATTAGCTTCGATGCGAAGCTAAGAAGGTATTAATTTTACTATGATGTGTTTTTTTTTTTTGTGTCTGTTACCAGTTTTTCTCAGCTCTCACCGAACCGATTTCTTTCAATGATAAGTCAAAAGATCACAAATCGTATCTAGTCGAAGATATTACCCTCAAAAAATGAAAAAATTTCCCTCGTTCCCCGTAAATAGGGGAAACCTCCAAAAAAATTACAAATTTAAAAATCGTTATTTTTCGAAATTTTTTCAATTTTTTTTTACTTAAAACTGCCATAACTTTTTCAAAAATGACCAAATTAATATAATTTTTTTTTTTTAATAGATGCTTGATGTTTTTACCTATCATTTGGTGTATTTTTTTTTATAAATTTAACCCTTTACCAGCCTACAGGGGAGGATTCAAAATGACAACTTTTTCACAAAAAATGAACTTTTGAAAGTGTTGAAAGTTACTGTTTAATGACACTTAAGATCCATTGTTTCAAGTATTATAACTATTACTAAATATAGAGTGGTGGTGAAGTGTGGGTCATGTTATTTTTATCAGAACTCATTACTTTCCCGCGCTCTTCCTCCACTCTATATTTAAGAATGTTAATAATATCTGAAGTATTTTTTCAAAAATTCTGGTCATTTTCTTAATTATACCAATTTATTAATTATTATGTATGTCGCCATTTAAAAAAACCCATCACAGTGGGCTCGTGGCACAGTGGGAATATGGCATAGTTGGGCAAGTATAATGATATCTGACAGTGATTAAAATCACTATCATAAAAGACGCTTCAATGCAAATCTGTGTTTAATTTAAAAAAATTAATGGATTATTCCAAAAGCTACATGATCTCCTATTTCGTTATTTATATCCTAATTACAAGTTTTATGATTTATAAGTGTAATATTTGAATAAATAAATATCTATATATAAATATATAAAGGGAAATGGTGTAATTAAAAAAAAAAAGTATGTCGAATGAAAGAGGGATATAAATATTATTTCTCATAAAAAAATTGTATTGATCCATACACTTTTCAATAAGTTATAGCATTATAAAGTTAAAAATGTACAATGTGAATTTTCAAACAAAAATAGCATTCGGTAACCATTTTCACCGTGAAGACAAAATAAATTCCGAAAATTTTTTTACCATAATAATGTATATTACATTATCTTTAATTTAAGACGTGTATAAAAGTGACAGAGTATCCAAAACACTTTCAAAAGTTAATTTTTGTGAAAAAAATTGTCATTTTGAATACCTGTGAGGGTCAAATTTATAAAAAAAAAAAATCAAATGATAGGTAAAGACATTATGCATCTATAAAAAAAAATGTTAAAAATTAGCGATTTTTAAATTTGTAATTTTTTTGGAGGTTTCTCCATTTACGGGTAACAAGGGAAATTTGTTCAATTTTTGAGGGTAACGTGTCTTCGATTAGATTCGATTTGTGATCTTTTTATGTATCGTTGAAAGAAATCGGTTCGGTGAGAGCTAAAAAAAAGTGGTAACAGACAAAATAAAAACAAAAAATAAAACATTATAGTAAAATTAATTAATACCTTCTCAGCTTCGCATCGAAGCTAAAATAAAATTTAGACCCTTATAAAGTATAAGGGATAAGTTTAAAAAAAACAAAATGGAATTTCTTATATACATTATGATCTTACAAGAAATCGAGTGCCTAATATTAAAAAAATCACTCTGTATACAACTTTTTAAAATTTTTCCGAAAAATTACAGTATAAAATGTTTGAATACTAAATTTAATTTCTATAATATATAATTATTTATCTATTATACCTATAAATCATACAACTAATAATAAAGATATATTTTAAAGAATAGGAGTTGCTGTTATTTTAGTATAATCCAACAATTTCTTCAAAAAATTGAGCACTATCTATAAATTTGCTTGGAAGTATTTTTTTGAAAGTGTTTTTAATTACTCTCAGATATCATCTATACTTGTCCCAATTATGTCACAATTTTGGGTTTTTTTATATTGAGAAAATAATGGTAATATATAATAGTATAATTTAAGATACAAAAAACATTTTGTTGAAAACATTTTTTTTTAATAATTATCATCTTAGACCTAATCAAGAGGTATCAAACCCTTCTAAGGAACCCTTAATATGATACGCTGCTGTAATCTATTTATTTTAAATGGTATACTATGTATTTCATTTGAAATTAGTTTAAATTAATTTAAAAATCAAATAATTATCAATTAATAATGTTTTTTTTTGACGTAATAAAAAATATAGCGATATTCGTACTTTACATCGATATCGAAAACATCCAAATACTTTAACGTGATATCAAAATTGTATTATTAATCTATATCGTTATCGACCTCTAATAACTGGTTATGTTGTAGAAATTTATAATGTGTGAATCTACACTTATTAAGAGTTATGTAAGTTTTTTAATTTATATGAAAAAATTTTATATTTTTAAGATAATGTAATTAAAAAAAAACTTAATATGTAGAAAAAACACGTACTCACTGGTGTACTTAGGCTATTTATTACAGAGGAAAGGGTTATTTTGTATACTAGTAAATTGTGTTATAGTTTTCAAATCAATGTTACACACGTATTTGCTATACAATTGTTTGTATAAACTTCTATAATTCATCTCAAGGTTACCTAATTGTTTAAAATGATAACTCTTCAAATTTGTTGTGATAATTATAAAAACTAAAGTTAGGCACGTAGTCAATATTTTATTATAATATTTATGTGCTAAGGAAATAAAATGTTATTTTCTCTCCTCAATATTAAATAATGTTATGTTAAATATGTACACAATTAGCCAGACTTATTTAAATATTAAGTAGTAGGATTAATGAATACAGAAAAATATTTTTTACCATTATGGTTTACATTGACCTATGATTTAAATAAAATCATTTTTTAATTTGATTTAGTGACTTTTGAAAATTTAGATTATACCGAAATCGGATTAAACTCTCTTAGAAATGCAACTAGTATTTTATTTGGAGTAGGGTGATGTTAAAACAAAAAGATTTTGCTCTCTGTGCAAAATAATCGAGTTGAGCTAAAAACCTCATAAAATAATCTCATTTTAAAAATTTTCGGAGGAGGGGAATCTAGATCTAATGAATCACATTAAATATTTGTCTTCTCAGAAAGTAATAGAATTTCATGGTTTATAAACTATATAAAAATAAGTCTTTGATAAAAATTCTTCAAGAAAAAATCCTAAATACTCTACTGTACACTATTACTAAAAATTTAACCTCATTATTATTGCAACTGGCAGAAAAGTAGGCAAATTGTTATTTGTTACCCACCTCCTAGGCATTTTATAATATTTTTAGTTAACATTTCACTAATGAGATATAAGTATCTAAAAAAATATTATGAGGAACTATTTTAAAAACGTTAAGCTATAAGGTTTCAAGACTTCTTGGGCGCATGAATTAATTTTATTTTACCGGTAAGCGATTCATTCACATCTATCAACTACAGGCAGCAATGATTTTTTTCTAGGTGACGCTTATGCCACATATGTATACGTTAAAATATGTTTTAAGAAACATTAGTTAAAAATGGAAGGTCATCAAAAACAAAAAATACTATGCTTCCTTTCTGGAAATTACTTCACGATTGACTGAGGTACGTAAGGGAGCAAAGTTTGTATTTTGCCCCCATAGTATTGTCCCTAAAACATATGGATGTATAAAATTCTTAAATTAATTTTTGAATCATAGTTACCCTGCGTTTTTGTTACCTAAAAAAAATTAAACTTTTGGTTAAAAAAAAAAATCAATATAAAAAGTTATCTATTCATATATGTAGTATAAATAAAAAACAACC